CTGACACATTGCCGGCCTTCTAACAGTAGAAGTTTATCCCCTTCTTCTAAGCTAAAATTAACCTTCAACACCTTCAGCCAAGAGTCTAGAGGTCTAGATCTAAAAAGAACTATGGAACATATTCTGTGTAAGCCGTCGAGGTCGAGCCAAGAACGTAGAATCAAAGTTAAGTAGATTCTAGTCAATATTGGTCCAAAGACTAAACCTGCATATAGAATATAGATCTAGATCTATATCTAGATCTAGTTTACTATCAAGTCTAAGTCAACTGATTTCACACCCAGATCAAGACTTATTTAGATAATCCAGTTATTTGGAAGATAGGCCTATCGACTGAGAATCAGAATGTATGGCACAATAATTTGATCAAAGTCGGAGAGAGAGAGAGAGAGAGAGAGAGAGAGAGAGAGAGAGAGAGAGAGAGAGAGAGAGAGAGAGAGAGAGAGAGAGAGAGACGACCCCCTGTTTCTGCGAACTCGGTGACCCAATCAGCTGACGAGTAAGCAAAATACAAAAGTATGAGGCTCAAATCATTCTTGTTTTCATTATCACATTGACTGTGTACGATGGATGCCCGAAACGGCTAAATTTATGAAAATGGTGTACGGTCGAAAGAAAGAAAATTGACCGATTTAAACGCAAGTTTAATACTATCATACCTGTTTTGCAGTATAAAATCACAGGAAAAAAAATATAATGTTAAACTGGCGTCCAAATGATGCTAAAATAGAAAACATAGCATTCTTATTGTTTTAATATTTTCGAACTGAAAAGTTGATAAAAAGTGTAAAATGGCGTCTCTACCACAGCAATGAGGAAAGTGTGTCACGAAGCATGCGCAATGCCATACTGTCCTGGGACAACCTTCGACCCTACGAAAGGCTTCGTTTCCGGGTCAAATTTTGGAGGTTGGTTTGGATAGCAGGTCGAGAGGTTGGAAAGGGGACGAGACTCCAAGCGAAACGGATCGAGGGCCGTATTTTTTTCCGCTTTGAGTGGCAGTGTTTCTATTCTACTACTGATGTGTTTCTTGGTGGAAAATGTGTTGATATGTAAGTACCGCTTTTCTCTGTTGTTTAATTAAGAATGTTGGATTGCCATTGAAAGCGCTTACTACTACTACTTTTTCTACCGCTACCGACGGGTTCCGCGAAGCGAGAGAGCGACTCGCCGTCAGTCAGCGCGTGCCACCGTCTCGCGGAGTGTTTGTCAACAAACCCCCCCAGTGCGTCGGGCCGTGCTCGCGTGTTGGGGAGAACACGGAGGTATGAAAATTACTACAGCTACCTACATTCCCTTGTTCCACCGTGCAGAATCCCCTCATCCTTTTCTTTTTAGCTTTTGAAACCGTGGCAGAAAAATCACCCGATAATGCTGCCTAGCGAGCGTGGAATATTGGAGGAATCCGAACATCTGCTGTTTGTTCTAAAGACATCAATCAAAGCTTTCATTGCGCATTGTCAATCATGTGTCAGGGCGTCTTTGTGGCGCCCCGTGCAATCAATCCGGAGCCCCATCAATCACCGGGGCTTTTATTGTAAATGTATTTGCACAAGAAAGCAAACAAAGGCGCCTGGCTCGGATTTTGACAGTTTGCGAGTCGTGCATTAGATGGGAATGATAAGTCGATGTGAAAAGGGTGAGGTGAACCAGGGTAGTTCGGGTAACAGAAGGAGAATGGTTGGAGTGGGATAGAGAGAATGGGATGACGTGAGGGTGGTGAAAAGAAAACGCTTTTGATTATAGCATCCATAATGCTGGTGTATGAAAGGGGTAGGAGGAAGGATGGTTTCGTTACCTGTGTGGGAAAATGGGGATGTTGTGCCAAGAGTAGAGCCTAGCAACCAATCCGGAGTGAATTAATTATAAAAACAGAACAAACTCTTAAGTGTAGCATTTAATCATAGGATTGTTTTATTTTTATGCCTGAAGTGTACACTGTCGTCATTCTGGTTGCAATCTCCCCGGCTTTACCCCCACCCCCTACCTTTTTTTCATGTGTCGTACAAAATGGATTAAAACCAACAATTCCATTTTAAACTAAAAGAATTGCACACATAGTTCTCATTTCTTTGTCTCCTATGATTATGCTATTGGGGTTATGATGGCTTTCACAGGAAAATGTCTGATGTATGATGCAGTGTCCCAGCTATCTCAATGGCGTCTATATTTATCATCTGTAGTCAAAAGGGGTAGGATGGGTGAAATTAATTTCAAGGATCAGTGCCAAATATATCTCCAGTCTTTCATCAAATGATAGATAGACCTTTAGATGTTGACTCTCTGTCTGAATGGATGGGAGAGACTGTACCTAAGCCTGACTGAACTGGTGGAGTGTTCTTGATTGAAGGTGGACGTGGGGTGAAGGTGGGAGGGGGTTGTGAAAAAAAGAGGAGGAGGGGGGAGGGATTTGTGTAAAAAAGAGGAGGGGGGAGGGGGTTGTGTAAAAAAGAGGAGGGGGAGGGGGTTGTGTAAAAA